GCGGCGTGACAAGCAAACGTTTCAGCCACAATACTACACCCACACCCTAAGTGTGCCTAAAATTGATATATGATGAATTACTAATTAAAATTCTACCAAACCTGCTTGTGTAACGTCAATTATATATACTTGTTTTCTATAGGAAGGAGGCACACACCTATCCAATTTTGTCGATGTGCAACGGCACAAAACCTGGAACCTTTACTTGGAGGCCATGTCTACACCGGGTGAATACGTTGATCACCTTGTAGTACAGAGAACATCGCAGTTTCTCAAAAAGGACATTGCCGTTTTCACAAGTTCCGAAGATGGAACCGCGTCCGACAGCAATGTTGTAATGATATGTGGTGGACCAGGAGCGGCTATTATGTTAGGTCACTATCATGAAGCACATTATCAAAGTCTAGATTTCCAACGTGCTGGTAAGTATTCTATATTCAATATTTTCATTCATACGGGTTTCATGTATAAGTAACTAAAAGATCAAATATGAAATAAGTACCCACTTTTGCCACACATTTGCTTTCACCAACAGTTCTTCTATATCAATTCTTCTAATTCAAGAACCTGGGCCAGTGGTTGGCATAATAAGTGTTATCATCCGATACATTTTAGTCGTCTCTTAAGACAAGCGCTGGCGACTTATTCTAAATAAATACAAAGTATAGAATCTAATACAACCGCATACAACGCGGGATATTTCCTTTAACTATCACCACTATTGAGCCTTTTACGCCCAGTGGAATCTGTTTCGTCAGATTATCGAGACTGGTTAATCGCTGTCGTTGACGTGTTACATTCAAGAATTAACTTCAATATATATCTTTTGCTTTTATGTTGGTATAAAGGTAAAAACCGGTTTGCACACTGTGTACATAAGCATAAATAAGTACGTCAACGATAGTAACTTCACAGACTGTTCATTAAACAAACAACTGTAGCCAACATTTCGAGCTAAAACAGCGCACACACTTCATAAGCCAATCATAACACAGTTGTTCGTTAGTGACCTAAATATTTTTCGGTAATTGTTTCCGCCTAAAATTCCTTGGTTAGTCAATGAAATGCCATGGAATCACTTGCAATGTATATAAGTACAAGTAATAAAAAAAGTATACATGACGTATATGTCATTTTAGCAAGCTGTTGCCGAAACAATCCGTCATTGTTATTTTAGGACAAGTGGAATGTTCCACCGCGCAAGCAGATTCATCACCATTGCCGGCGGAGGATGTGGTGAGTGTGATGAAACATATTGATATTTTCGTCTTTACAAATATGCTTACGATACAGGACGAACTGTCTTAAGGTAGAGAGTCATGTAATAATGTTTGTTATTACAGGGCGGTTTAACTTTAACTGTTACTTGTAACCTATAACTAAGTACACTTACAATATATAAAGGAAATATAAACTTGGCGGATACAATGATATCTTTGATATATAGATATAATTTGTTGTATGTTTTTCAGTTTCAAGATATCTGTAATGATGACAGAAGATTGGACGAAATAGTAGTGACGATAGGTCCCTACCGAATATCAAAATTGGATATTCTGACAATAGCACCAATACTTCCGAAAGAAACAGAAGACCAGCTGAGAGTGAAAATTGACAAAGAGACCAGATGGACTGTGGGCTGGTTAAATGATCAGGTATGTGTACACCACTGTATACACATGAAGTACATTTATTAAACGGTGATAAAGTGGAACAATAACGTTAATAATATTATGTTTCTTTGCAGATAATAAACGTCTCCTTGTATGTGCTGTGTCAAAGGCAGGGGGTAAGTGACAGGATATTCAACATACCGTGATATATACATATGATATGTACAAAATGATATGTAGATATGTTTACAAGATGCCATGTCATTCATTAATAGATTAATCAACTTTGTTACAAATTGTGATAATGTGTGCAAATACCAAAACAATATTCGTCCTTGATTATATCACTTGCTATTTTAGAATATGTTATTTGTTTCGGGGTAAGCAGAGAAACGCAGCTTTATCAAGCCAAGTTATAGAGGGATGGCAACATTTCAAGTCCAAAAGGAGACGCCGGGCGCCACTTGTTCAAAAGGTCAGAATTGCTTTTTAGAAATATCTGCAGTTACAATTTTAAACTGAAGACAAAATATGCCAAGGGAATATGTAGTTTTTTTATTCGCCCGTAAAGAGATCACCCGTTTAATAAACATACAGCTGTATAACACGTTGTATAATACCAAAGCGCGTGCTTATATACTGCGGGAACAAGTTTCAGTAACAAATATTGAAAACTCCCAACATCCCTGGGCTTATTCAACGACATTGCGTGTAGTGACGATAGATCACTGAGAGGGTATGCACACGCAATGACCCTCTCAACCCTGATGCTATGCTGACGTCACATGACATTGTTTCGTGGTTGGATCTTGTAACAATATTCTACATATTACGTCAGAGGGTATTGTGACGTGTTGTAATCTTTTTGATGCAGCATCCTGTTCCACAAGTCGATAGTAGAGCAACGACAGACGTAAGTTTATGTTACTATAAGGGTAAATCTATTTTTCAGTGCATTATCATTTGCAGAAGCCCGAGGTCTTCCATTAAGACCGAGGGTTTCTGCAAATGATAATGCCCTGAAAAATAGCGTTACCGTTATAATAGCTAAAAAGGATGGAATTTGTTATCAAATAAAAAGAATCAACGATATCGGTTTTGAAACATTTACTGCAATCAACACGAATGTCACTGACCCGCTTTTACAAATATGGAAACGCCATAGAACAAACCAGATGACGTCACTATTGAACATGACGTCACCTATCCCTATCCTAACAAATAGTCAAAACCCAAGTATGACATCATCTGGTTTGTTCTATGACATTTCCATATTTGTAAAAGTGGGTCAGTAACATATTTAGAAAAGTTATAAACGGCAAGTAATAAATAAATTACTAAGCTCGCTCCTGTTTAATAACATTTTTATGAAACTCGTGAATAGTTTCTTGTATCGGACTCCCTTTCGATCGTGAGATACCAGAACTATTCACTCGTTTCATACGATAAGTATTACAAAGGAGCTCGTTTAGTATTCTCTATTTGTCATAAAGTGGGAATGGGTAAAGAGAAGGATATTTCGAAGATGACGTTGAGGAGAAGATATCATTCACTGTCGGTTGGTGAATAAGAATCGCCTAGCCTTGCAAGGCTTGTCATTATTGAGAAAAGAAAATTAAATCTTCAAGAAAAAGCGTTTTCTGAAATTGACAGTATCATAAGTGAGATAAGATGCACTGGAAGAGTTTCTGAACCGCCGAAAGACGCCGACATATTGAGGAAATGAATTGAATGAATTGAATAAAGTTGATGAAGACAAACATTCCCTTAATGTAGCAACAGGTAACTGGATACATATCAAGTCTAATCGTTGCACATATATGAAACCTTAAGACGGGATATTATGTTGTTTGTTGTTGTAATGCCACAATAAACAATAGTCTAGGTATATGGCGACGTTTTAATCATGTACATGCTACTGTTGGAACTACTTCTAGATTAACAATATAATATGAGGTACGGTATGAAACAAAAGGTATGTTTTCAAGATGGATGCATGTTGTTATACTGTCTTCAGTTGTCAGATATATATGGGCAGTGAATGTCATAAGAAACGTTTTAATAGAAGATAGATGCAGTTCTTTTGATGGTTGATGTTTTAACATAATGACATGGAAACGAACTATGTACATGAGATGAACATAGATATAATTTACCAGTGATATTTTATTCAATTAAATATTTTATGGCTAACTGAAAATTGCCACAACACAACAACATAGGCTACTGTGAAAGACTCGCTACACTAATAAAGAAAACAAAATTTAATGTCCTCAATAATATATGTGAACAACCGATTGCCTGTTAATACATATGATACCAGAGATGTTCAAGGGACGACATGAGATACCGTTTGTAGGATGAGATTAAGTACACAATGCCGTGAGACAGCACAACCTTAGTCCTGTACTGTAGATTGTAGGTATTTGAGTATTGTTCCGAATGTAAAGGACCATGTTCGTTGTATTTCAGGAAAAACTCTCGGAAGCAGAGAAAGTGTTTATACCGATTCACAGACATGGAAGCCATTGGACATTGCTGGTAAGTTGTATTTCCTAGGTATTTGAGACAGAAATTGACCACACATGAATGGTGCCTATCGTATGTGTGTAGTTGTGTGACTCACGTCGAAGTGTGTGGGCGTGTGTTGGATTTCAATCGTGTGACTGAATTTCGGGTCGATCACTTGATCCTCAGATTTGTGTACAGGCCCACGTCGGATGGCAACAAATACATACGTTTTTGTGCAAATTGTGTGAATGGCAGTTGCTTCCATTTGGGGAGACATGCTTACCCCTTTCGTAAAAACCTGGCGTCGTCTTTGATTTTCAGTTTACCTTTATGTGAAGGTCACATATAGACGTACAACAGTTACTGTCACTCCTTATTTCTGACGCAGGTGTTGGATGTACAAGCCAAACGAATGCGCTTCTATGACCCCTTGAACCGGAGATTAGACGAAGAAGTGGTCAACACAACAAGGTAGGGTTGCTGAATAAGTAAATGCCCTATATCGCCACATCTATATTAATAAATGAAGTAGTTTTATAGCCTTACAAGTACATGGCTGCTTACGTTATTACTATGAACTGCTGCGTTGCCTGTCGGTCCAAACTCATTGCATTTGCACTTTTCTTCAAAGGGAGAACATGGAATACAGACTTCAGAATGTACCAGATGATGCAATTGACCTATCAAACTTCAACGTAGAGGTCAGTCATGAGTACACCACACAGACGGATGCTACAAGCTGTGGTGTTTGCATATGCATAGTGAGTACAGCAAGGTCTTAGAAAGAGTTGTTCAAAACTGAATAATAACGATTAAATATTTTCTCGCCACTGATTACACTTTGACTTATTCACGGTTACTATGAAGAAAATATTTTTTTTAAATTTATGTAAATGAAAGAATACCTGGAATAGTGAGTGATTTAATGGTCACATTGAATATGATTTCGTGTTTCAGTATGCGTGGAACGAATGCAGCAAGGACAAGAAGGTACGACCGTTTTTTTTGGTGTATTGAAGTTCTAATGTATAGCAGTTATATTACAGACGATATGTATCAATGATTATTTTTAAAATAAAAACATGACATATTTTGCAGTGTGACCCGAGCAGTTGCCGTTCTTTCATAGCCAAAGAAATTTTGAATGCAGTGAAGGATGTGGAACCAAAGGTACTTTATTTGTGCACTGTGAATAATTGTGACAGTAATGGGCATATACGCTACTGTTTATTGTTCGTAAGCTAACCAAAGATATGTGTCACAAATATATCCCCGTATTTCGAATATTCAATAAGTAATTCACATGCAATTCTATTCTACTTATAAAATATGTGCTACTTGGAACATCGTTCCATTTCAGAATACAACAAAGGAAATACGAAGCAAATACGGACTGCGGGAGCAAGTTCCAGTGGTAAAACATAATGAGGTTTCACTGATACATCTAGATGGTCGATTCCATTTCATGTAGTACTGAAAATACATTTAGTATACATGCGACCCGTGAAGATCCGGGTAGAATAGGTCTTCAGCAACCCATGCTTGCCGTAAAAGGCGACTATGCTTGTCGTAAAAGGCGACTAACGGGATTGGGGGGTCAAGCTCCCTGACTTGGTTGATGCATGTCATCTATCCCAATTGCGTGGATCGATGCTCATGATATTAATCACTGGATTGTCTGGTCCAGTGGTCCAGACTCGATTATTTACAGACAGCCGTCATATAGCTGGAATATTGCTGAATGCGGCGTTAAACAACAAACCAACCAACCAACTAGTACACATGCATGTGTTATGCACATAATGCATTAAGTACCCATGACAACAAACTGTTATGATTCATACCTAAAATACACCCGTGAAGATCCGGGTCAGAAAAGGGTCTTCAACAACCCATGCTTTTCGGAAAAACGGGGTCTGTGCTTGCCGACTTTTATTCAGTGAATTTATCTCCATAAGTTTGCATGGAAGTGATGCGACCCTATATACATGTTGTATTCACGTGCACTTTCTGGTTTCATAAGGTAATATAGAATTGACGTAATTTAATTCGTACTATAATTCATTAAACATAATAACTAGTAATAATGGTACACTGTTTCAAAATTTCATATAAAATTTATTCGCTCCTGAAATTCTGTTACTACACTCAGGACACAAAAACATTTCTATATGTTTCTGAATCAGAAGAGATTTTCGGATTCGTGGTGTGCTGACCAACCTCTGCCATTGAAACGAATACGAAGACCTGAATATGCGGCATTGAAGATCCAAACACAGGTACAGAAAGTAAAATCTGATTCATGAAATAACTGAATGTTCTGTTCTTGCTCCATCACAAGAAGACTTACGAGAGTGTTGTACAGTTCGTATCTTAGGTTGATAAATAGTATACATTTGTTAAAAATTGGTTTGTGAATGACCATAGAATTGTTTGTATTTCATTTAGAAACCGAATCCTGAGGTGCAGCTTAAAAGGTATGATACTTTTGACAATAATATATGAAAACATTTTAATAATCATAATAAATCTTTGCTTGAAACATGATACGATTAAGACGATATCATAAGTTTGTGAATAATAAATTTCTATACTTGTGTCGCTTGATACACATCGACTAGTCACATAAGTTTGCAGGCAGTTATCATACAGCAATTAAAATATATTGGAGAAAGAATAATTACTAATTGCATTTACTGTTGCGAAAGAGGGAATACTAGAGATAATTATTAATTTACTACATATTATTGCAGCACAAAATGTGTCGAAAAGACGACAGTGACAAGAAAAGCCATGCGTGAGTATTTGTTTAGAAACCAACCTCATATAAGAATTAAGACACACATGCACGCACGCACGCACGCACACGCACACACATGCACACACAGACAAACACACAGAGAGAAAAAGATGCCCATGGTATAAACTCAAAGTATGAATATGTTTGTTTAATACAAATAGCGGTTCCTGCAGTAGACATGAAGGAATATGGTGACCAACAAGTGAACATACTTGCTGATGATCTCGAGGAGCTGAGGACTGTGGAACGATCAGAATTCCGAAATGTGGTATGAACATTCATATATATTGACCTACAGTTTCAGTTGTAAATATTATATTGGCATAACAACTTGTGAGTTTCAATATAGATAGATAGATAGATAGATAGATAGATAGATAGATAGATAGATAGATAGATAGATAGATAGATAGATAGATAGATAGATAGATAGATAGATAGATAGATAGATAGTGTTAATTTCCAATCTCTAGACTGTAGTAAATGTGTCACGAATAACAATATGAAAACGTATTTTTGATGACGTTTTTATTCCATTGGATTTGTAACTATATAAATATGTTTCTGTGTACACTTGATGAACGGTATAACTAGGAATGTTTTGTTCCTTTAGTTGGAAAAGATAATTGATGAAGATGTACCCAGGCTGTACCGGTACCCAACAAATGATACAGAAGAAGTACCTGAAGAGTTCAGGAGACATGTGCTTTATTTTCAACGAAAGAAGCTGGAGAGGAGCAGGGCCATGTCCCACCTCAATGCTGTTGTAAATATTACTCTAATTTGACTTCACGAATGTTGAAAACGCCTATTAATTTGCCAGTGTTTGGAAATACTGATAACCATCTCAACACAGAAATACTGAGTTACATATTAAATTTGCTTACAGATAAACGGTATGTTCATACTACAGTGACATTTGTCTAACCGGCCTCTGTCTAAAGCGGATATGCCCATATATGAAGATATTTTCGATCCAAACTTTTACACGTAAATTTATACTGAGAGTACATGACATGACTTAATGATAGAATGACTGCTTTCAGGGATATGCCATACTGATGCAGTCCATGGAGACACATTTGGTGACGAGGACAAGAGGTCCAAGGTAAGTATAGGATAAAATAAACTTAAGGAACATATTTAATTTTCCATCAAGAAGCTTCTGTTTGTTTGTCATCACTATATAAGAATCAAGCGCGTATTAAGAACGAATAAGCTTTGTTTCCACATCTGACCGATAGTTTTACGCTATACACTACCAACAAATATACAGAAATGATGTAGTGATTTATTTAATTTGCATTTTCAGACTTTATGACATCACAAAAAGAAATCTGATACTACCCGATGTTGTACTACAATTTGGACGTCCAAGGTATGTGACTGATGATTGTAAGTTGTAATACATAGTTCTGTCCTAATGGTTGTACGGGTGACAGAAACATGAGGCTTCAGCCATCACAAAAATTGCTGTCACTCGATTCATATATTTTTCAGGAACGACTATTTCCTCAAAGTGGTGGAAGATTTCATTTTCTACCATGCCAGAAAGCATTTCGAAACAAGGCACACAGATATGTAATTCTTGAGTGGGTGAGTGAGTGAGTGAGTGTGATGTTCGTGGATATGAGTATACCAATAATAAATGAAAGGATTTGTCAGCATATTAAAGAGGAGAGAAAATGCCGAGGTCATGCAGGTCGAAGTCATGTAGGTCGAAGTCATGTAATCCTTAAATGACTGTCACTTCGTTGAAACCATTTTGTGTAAATAAACTACTTTTGCATTTTCAACATGTATACTCGAACCGTGTTTTGTCGAATGTACCGATATGTCGAACCTTGTCTGTGGTCGCGACCGCCTATACAAATACATATAAATTTACCCGCATCTGTCTAATTAGACACGATATAACATATCGTTATCTCGAAATTTGACTTAAATATTTAATGCTTGCCACGTTAACAGTTTTGAGAAGCGCAAATAAACATCTCGCATAGTTGTGAGCAATTCTCCTACATACATGCATGTATAGGCCTATTTGTAGTATATTTCTTCTCACATCTAACAACGCTGTAAATGGATTTTGAACCAATTGTTCATACACGTATGTAGTTACAATTTTGTCCAGTTGTCATGTATGTAACTTTTAGTACGTTATTTTGTTTCAGATTCATGACAGATTGGATATGCGCTTATTTAAGAGAAAGCGTTATGAGTACATAAGAGTATATCTATTACAAAAAATGAGGACCGGGTTGATATAAGAGTGAGTGAAAGGTTGATACTGGAGTGAATGAGTGAGTGACATTAAGAAGATATGTTGTTTGAATATTGAATATTTGATGTTTGTGCTTAGTGGAAGGCCATAGAAAACTTGTTTAATAGAAATTAGCGTAAAGCAATTGACAAATTATCCACTTATTACAAGGCTGGATAAGTGAAAGAGAGCTAAATATTCCAATGAACAAATACGCGAAATTGCAGCAAATTAAGAACATGTAGTGTGCAATTCATGGGACTAAATTAAATATAAAAGTCGTGTATGAACCCTATTTACTACTAGATTGTAATCAATACATTATAAATATGGGAACACTGCCCACTTCCTGGAATGTACAAGCAAAACAACCGAAACTAAACAACACATTAAAACACAAATGTTATTTCAG